GAGGAGGAAGCAGGCTCCCTGCTGAGCAGAGAGCCCAATGTGGGGCTCCACCCCAGAACCCTGAGATCATGACCTGAGCCGAAGGCAGAGGCATTAACCCACTGAGCCACCCAGGTGCCCTTTGACTGCTTTTAACTCAAAATAATGTTCATGTCAAAGAGGCCCATCTTGGGGCAGCCAGCCCTTGGCCCCTGTGCTATTAATTATAGATACTATGATTTAGATTTTTAGCAGTATTTTTAGATGAATTAATCTAAACCTTGATCTGACTTCCCTTGTTTTCTAGAGAATGTATTTGTGAGTTAGTTTATTTGCGGTCATGTTACAGAGGGGAGGCTAAGCCACACATATTGTTAAAAATAACTCATCACTGGGGCTCCTGGGTGGCTCAGTGAGTTAAAGCCTCTGCCTTCGGCTCAGGTCATGATCCTGGGGTTCTGGGATCGAGCCCCACGTCGGGTTCTCTGCTCAGCGGGGAGCCTGCTTGCTTCCCTTACTCTCTCTGCCTGCCTCTCTGCCTACTTGTGATCTGTCAAATAAATAAAATCTTGAAAAAAAAAATAACTGACCACTATACTTCCTTGGTTTTACTTGCTCATTGGTCAAGGAATAGGGTTTTCAAGGGCTATGTGTAAAATGTGCCTACTTACCAAACAGATGTCCACAGTAGAGACTTATCAAGGATTGTAGTAGGGAAGAAGTCTCTCCCTTACTGTCAGCAGCAGCTCGTAAAGCTGACTGTACATATGTGCATTTTCCTCTTGGTAGAAATGGTCCATAGCACTAATTGGTAAGGCTTACTGTATAGTCAGTATTATCAGTATCTTTCGGTTCAACATACCTTATAGTTCGTATATAACCTGTGTTAATTATATAGATTGTACATTTAAAGCTGTTACCAAGTTGCTGGAACGTAAGAGCAGAAATAAGGTCCTATCAGTTATTTTGTTAAGTATCCTTTGTATCACAACAAAGGAAATGTTTTCATTTGTTTTTTTAACGATTGTTTGAGAGAGCGAGAGAGTGCTCTCAGGTGGGGCTGGGGGTGCGTAGAGGTAGTGGGAGAGGGAAAAGCAGACTCCCCATGAGCAGGAAGCTCCATGTGGGGGTCCATCCCAGGATCTTGGGATCATGACCTGAGCCGAAGGCAGAGACTTAACTGATGGAGCTATCCAGGTACCCCACAAAGGAAATGTTTTTATTTATTTATTTAAACAAAATTTTTTTTTTTTTTTTTTTTTTAATTTGAGAGAGAGAGAGAGAACGAGATAGTGAATGAGAAGCATACTCCTTGTGGAGCAGGGAGCCTGACATGGGACTCCGTCCCAGGCCCCTGGGATCATGACCTGAGCCGAAGGGAAATGCTTAACCAGCTGAGCCGCTTAGATGCCTGGAAATGTTTTTATTTATTTATTTATTTATTTATTTATTTATTTATTTATTTTAAAAAAAAATTTTTTTTAAAGATTTTATTTATTTATTTGACAGAGATCACAAGTAGGCAGAGAGGCAGGCAGAGAGAGAGAGAAGGGGAAGCAGGCTCCCCGCTGCCCAGAGAGCCCAATGTGGGGCTCGATCCCAGGACCCCGGGATCACGACCTGAGCTGAAGGCAGAGGCTTTAATCCACTGAGCCACCCAGGCGCCCCTGGAAATGTTTTTAAAAAGTCAACTATAATAAAGTGATTTTATTACTTTATACACGTATGCACACACATACACAAACACAATGTGCCTACTTAGTTCAGTACCAGGCATACAAATGGAGGATGTAACTTTAACTCTTCTTTTTCTATAAACTAGTTTAATATGCAACTAAATTTGTATTTATGAAGCTTAAAATAAATTTCAAGCTGGTGAGAAAATTTCAAGGAACTATTCAAAGTGATCCTTTTTATTCAAGTTTCAGAGCAGTGTTCTTAGAATGGTTGATTATAAAACTTAGCAATCTCAAGTTTTATATTTCAAACAGAATAAATTCCAGTCAAGTTTAGTAAAACTCTAAGAGTTCATATTTTACTGTTATCATTACCCTATTATCTGTTGAAAAATAAGTATTTGGTTCAATATGCAGTGTAAAACACTTTGCCGAATAGGCTTGTGCTACGTAATGTGTTTAATAGCTACTCCTTTTTTTTTTTTCTTTTTTTAAGATTTTATTTATTTGTGAGAAAGCATGGGGGGTGGGGAGGGGCAGTGGGCGAGGGAGAACCAGACTCATCCCTTAGCAGTGAGCCCAAAGCGGGACTTAATCCCGGGGCTCCGGGATCATGACCCAAGCCAAAGGCAGATGCTTAACTGACTGAACCACCCAGGTGCCCCTCAAGTGCTGCTCCTTTCCGAGTGAATTACTGATGTGATCTGAAACATTTAAAATGGTTTTGCTACCCAGGTTTATCCTGCAGTTTCAGTTACTCTTTGCTTCCTGTTTTTCGCAGTTGCCTGGAGCTGTTGGGGCAGCTGGTTTCCCTTTGGGGGGGAGGGTGGTGTTAGTGGTGAAAGGAGTATGTTTTGCCTGAAATATTTTTAAAGCGTGAAACTATGGTATTTCAAATGCTTGAAAGTTCATTTCACTTGTTGCTATTCAGACTGTTTATTTTATGTTGAAACAAAGAATTTTCTAACTACCATATTTTTTGAAAGGAATTAAAATTTGAGCTTTTTATTCGGTATTAGTCATTGCTGTACCTTAGTGAAAGAAACTACTCGAGCTTGACACTGTAAACAGGTGACAAATGTATATTTACTTAATGTATCTTACTTAATAGAAATCTCTTTTTTTTTTTTGGCCAGTTGATAAAGCATCTTCATCTTTACTTTTAATATTACTATGAAAAATAGTTAAGCATTAGATAGATTGATTCTGTGGATAGAGTTCAAAAGTCTGTCATGTAATGTTAAGATGTATGATAAGATCATATTAAAATTGTCATATGTGAGGAATTGTTTGAAGATGATGATTTAAGACAATCTTAACCCCCTTACCTTCACATAACTGTATAGACTTCATGGCAGATTTTATCCCATATTAATGATAATCATTTTATGTTTACACTTTAATTTTATGTTTTTTTTAAAGATTTTATTTATTTGAGAGAGAGTGCACTCACAGCAGGGGCAGAGGAACAGGGAGAAGCAGACTCTCCATTGAGCAGAGAAGGCCAACGTGGGGCTCGATCCTAGGACCCTGAGATCATGACCCAAGCTGAAGGCAGAGGCTTAACAGACCGAGCCACCCAGGCACCCCTGAAGTTGGATGTTACCTTTGCTGAGAGTGTATAACTTGAATTCTTAAAATAAAATATATTTTGTTTAGTCCATGAATGACCGGAGAGTGCTTTGAATTTTTGCTACAATTAATTTGAGGAAAGTAATAAAAAAGTTAAAATACTTGGGAGAAATCTTTCTTTGTGTAATTACAACCTTTAATTTTTAAGGAAAGAAAAAAAAACCCGACTTTTAAAAAAGTTTCACTGAGGTATAAATACATACAGTAGGGGCACCTGGGTGGCTCAGATGGCTGGGTGTCTGCCTTTGGCCCAGGTCATGATCCTAACGTCCTTGTGGGATCTAGCCCCACTTCAGGCTCCTGGCTCAGTGGGGAGTCTGCTTCTCCCTCTTCCTCTGCTCCTCCCCCTGCTCATGCTCTTTCTCTCTGTATCTGTCTCAAATAAATAGAATCCTTTAAAAAATATATTAAAAATACATACAGTAAACTTCACAAATTTAGAGTGTGCAGTAAGTTTTGACATATATACACTCATGAAACAGTCACCATAATTAAGATAATGAACATATCCCTCCCAAAAGTTTCCCTGGGTCCCTCTTTGCCTTATTGCTTCCCCCTAGGGAACCACTGATCTTATTTCTGTCACTGTAGATTAGTTTGCACTCTTTAGAATTTTATGTAAATAGGATCATATAATATGTCTTGTCTGCTTTCAGTCAGCATAATTTTGAAATGTATTCATGTTTTCAGTAGTTCATTTCTTTTTATTGCAAAGTAGTATGAGCATGCTACAGTTTGTTCTTTCACCTGTATAGACATTTGGGTTGTTTTTAGTTTATGGATGTTTCAAACAAAGCTGCTGTGAATATTTGTGTGTAAGTCTTTACGTGATACATGCTTTCATTTCTCTTGGATAATTACTTAGAAGGGTTGGGACATAAAGTAGATATGTGTTTAACTTTTAAAGAGATAGGAAACTTTTCCAAAGTGTTTGTACCATTTTTATAGTCTTACTGGTGGTATATTAAAGTACTAGTTGCTCTATTTCCTCACCCAAGTTTGTCATGGTCAGTCTTTTTAAAATTTTAAATACTCTAACAGGCATGTAGTGGAATCTTTTTTTTTTTTTTTTAAGATTTTATTTATTTATTTGACAGAGCACAAGTAAGGGGAGCAGAAAGCAGAGCAAGAAACAGACTCCCCGCTGAGCAGGGAGCCCTATGTAGGGCTTGATCCCAGGACCATGGGATCATGATCTGAGCTGAAGGCAGATGCTTAACTGACTGGGCCAGCCAGTACTACACTATACCACACTACCGTACACCAGTACTACTATACCCCCATGTAGTAGAATCTTATTGTGGTGGTACTTTGCATTTCCCTGATGATAAATGGTGTTGAGCATCATTTCATGTACTTATTTGCCATCTGTATATCTTTATTGATGAAACATCAGATCTTTTGCATATATATATATACATATACATATATATGCATATATGTATATATATATATATATATTAGAGTGCGCGAGTGTGAGGGAGTGGATGCTGAGGGAGAACAAAGAGAATCTTAACCAGGCTTCTTGCTCAGCACAGAGCCTGATGCGGGGCTCAACCTCATTACCCTGAAATCATGACCTGAGCTGAAATCAAGAGTCAGATGCTTAACCAACTGAGCTACCTGGTGCCCCTAGAATTTTTCTAATTAAAACATCGTAACAGTAAATAGATACTAACATTAAGCCACTAAATTACTGATTTTCTTTTCTAGAATTCAGCATACAATTGAAATAAAATGACCACCTCCTGGAGTGATCGGTTACAGAATGCAGCGGATATGCCTGCTAACATGGATAAGCATGCCCTGAAAAAGTACCGGCGAGAAGCCTATCATCGGTAAGTATTTTGTCTCTGCAATCCTCAAAACATCTCTATAAAGTAGGCACATATTATCTTCATTTTACAGATGATGAAGTTTTAATGTGTAGAGAAGTTAGGCAGTTTAAAGATCATATAGCTAGTTCATGGTTCAAACCCAGTCCAGAGTCTGGGCCTTTTTTTTTTTTTTTTTTTTTTTTTTTTGGATATTTATTTATTTAAATAATCTCTATACTCACTGTGGCCTTGAACTCACAACCCTGAGATAAAGAGTTGCATGCTCTGCTCTTCCGACTGAGCCAGTTAGGTGCCCCCAAGAGTCTAGATTTTTAACCACTAGTACATCATATTGCTGCATTTTAAGAGGAGATTTCTTGTTTCTTACATCTACTAATAAAAGTCCTTGGGGCACCTGGGTGGCTCAGTGGGTTAAAGCCTCTGCCTTGGCTCAGGTCATGCATGATCCCAGGGTACTGGGATTGAGCCCTGCATCAGGCTTTCTCTGCTGGTCGGGGAGCCTGCTTCCCTTCCTCTCTCTCTGCCTGTCTCTCTGCCTACTTGTGATCTCTCTCTCTGTCAAATAAATAAAATCTTTTAAAAAAAAAAAAGTCCTTAACTGAATAAAGTCTTCAGATGCTGAAAAATTGTACCTTAATTAGTAAGAATGAAATTCTTTTTTTTTTTTTTTTTAAGAATAAGCTTATTTGGCGCCTGGGTGGCTCAGTGGGTTAAGCCGCTGTCTTCGGCTCAGGTCATGATCTCGGAGTCCTGGGATCGAGCCCCGAGTCGGGCTCTCTGCTCAGCGGGGAGCCTGCTTCCTCCTCTGCCTGCCTCTCTGCCTGCTTGTGATCTCTCTGTCAAATAAATAAATAAAATCTTAAAAAAAAAAAAAAAGTATAAGCTTATTTGACATTTTCCACAAACTGATAATAGTGGTTTTTTTGTTTGTTTTTTAAAGATTTTATTTATTTGATGGAGAGAGAGAGCATAAGCAGGGGGAGCTGCAGAGGGAGAGAGAGAAGCAGACTCCCCACTGAGCAGGGAGCCTGACACGGGGCTTGATCCCAGCACCCTGGGATCATGTCCTGAGCCAAAGGCAGACGGTTAACCAACTGAGTGACCCAGGAGCCCCTTGATTATAGTTCTTAAATAGATTTTTTAAATTGTGTCTACTGGCTACTTAATTAGATTGAATATGGGAAATACTGGGTATTAGCAATATTTTCTTGTATTAAGACTTCAACATTTTCTCTGAATCATTTTTAAAGTTTAAAATGTGGGCAACCCTCTTAGGTCCCCTCCCTCTTTGGGAGCTTTGTGGCCATTATTCTGTAATTTTACTATTGCTCAAAACCTTGCTTTGCTGCCCACCAAAAAAAAAAAAAAAAAAAAAAAAAAAAAGTTTAAAATGTGGCTCAGTCACGGGCGCCTGGGTGGCTCAGATGGTTAGGCATCTGCCTTCAGTTCAGGTCATGATCCCAGCATCCTGGGATCGAGCCCCACATCGGGCTTCCTGCTCAGTGGAAAGCCTGCTTTCCCTCTCCCATTTCCCTTGCTTGTGTTCCTGCTCTTGCTTTCATTCTATCAAATAAATAAATAAAATCTTAAAAAAAATGTGGCTCAGTTAGTTAAACGCCTGACTCTTGGTTTTGGCTCAGGTTATGATCTCATTGATGGTGAGATCAAGCACCACTTCAGGCTCCATGCTCGGGTCTGCTTGAGGATTCTCTCCTGCCCCTTCCCCTGCTCACACTCAGTCTCTCAAATAAATAAATCTTTAAAAAGTTTAAAATGTAAATATTTTAAATTTATTTGTCACTTTTTTTTTTAAGATTTTATTTATTTAGAGAGCACAAGAGAAGGGAGGATCAGAATGAGAAACAGACTCCCTGATGAGCAGGAAGCTGTATGCGGGACTGCAGGATCATGACCCGAGCCAAAGGCAGTTGCTTAACCAGCTAAGCCACCAGGCCCCCCTATTTGTTATTTTTTAAAATATTAATGTTAAAATGCCCATATTTTAAACTTTAAAAATGATTCAGAGAAAATGTTAAAGTCTTAATACGAGAAAATATCGCTAATACCCAGTATTACCCACATTCAATCTAATTAAGTAGCCAGTAGACACAATTTAAATTTTTTTTTAATTTTTTTTTAATTTTTAAAAAAAATTTTTAAAGGTTTTTTATTTATTTATTTGACAGACAGAGATCACAAATAGGCAGAGAGGCAGGCAGAGAGAGAGAGGAAGGGAAGCAGGCTCCCCACTGAGCAGAGAGCCCGATGCGGGGCTCGATCCCAGGACCCTGAGATCATGACCCAAGCCGAAGGCAGAGGCTTCAACCCACTGAGCCACCCAGGCGCCCCTAAATTTTTTTTTTTTTAATTTATTTATTTGACAGACAGAGATCACAAGTAGGCAGAGAGGCAGGCAGAGAGAGAGAGAGAGGAAAGCAGGCTCCCCGCTGAGCAGAGAGCCTGATGCGGGACTTGATCCCAGGACCCTGAGATCATGGCCTGAGCCGAAGGCAGCGGCTTAACCCACTGAGCCACCCAGGCGCCCCGGTTCAATTTAAATTTTTTAAAAAAAGTTTATTTACTTTTGAGAGAGAGAGAGAGAGAGTGTGTGTGTGTGTGTGTGTGAGCTGTGGGGGTGGAGCAGGGACAGGGGAGGAGCAGGGACAGAGGAGGAAGCAGATTCATCAGGGGATGAGCATCTAAGGCAGATGCTTGACTGACTGAGCCACCCAGGTGCCCCTTATTTGTCACTTCTAATAGTTTGAATTAAATGGCTATTTCTGCCTAATCTTGAGTAGCTGAGATTCATGGAAGTAGGTACTGCATTTAGAAATCACTTGTTTTTGGAGAGAAATTAGAGGTTTACACTTCCCATAAATTAATAGGGTAGAAAGACCCGGGCCCTATTAAATACCTCTGCTTCCCATGTTGGGAAAGCAAGGGATGAGTAGAAATGCTGGTATACTGGTAGTGCTAAAAAGGTGCATGGGAACTCCAGGAATCTACAGCAACTCACAATTACTCATTTGTTTCTAAGCTAGAGGAAGAAGAAAATATTTGGTATTTTATACCCATTCAGTTAATTTGTCTTTATGCTGCATACATTCAGCTATGATGTAACATATTTATCAATGGAAACAAGGGCTAGAATTATGCAATGAGGAGAGGTCATCTAGTACACATCAGGTATCCTAGTTGCATTTAATATGTCATAGCCTGAGTCCTTCTGACTCATTTAGAATGATATTTCCTGGAAGATTTTAGACTGGCTGTGCACCCTACATTCTTTATATAGTAGAGTGCACTCTGAAATCATAGAAACGGTGGGAAAAACACCTCCAAGGTTTAAATTTTTAGATCATTTGAAACTTTTTTTCTTTTTTCTTATTGTGATAAAGTATATATTACATAGAATTGCTATCTTAAGTGTTTTTAAGTGTACACTTCTGTAGTATTAAGTATATTCACACTGTTGTGCAGCCATCACTGGTATCCATCCCTATAACTTCATTTTGTACAATTGATACTATATCTGTTAAACAGTAAGTCCCTGTTGTTTCTTCCCCAGCTCCTGACAGCCAACCACCATTATACTGTCTGACTTTATAATTTTGGCTACTCTAAGTACTTCGTATAAGTGGAATTATACAGTATTTTTCTTTTTGTGACAAACTTGTATCAGTTAGCATAATGTTCTCAAGGTTCATTCATGTCATAGTGTATTGCAGAATTTCCTTTTAATGTAAAATTTGGGTTCTTGAATTCTTGCAAGTATTTGCTTTTGTTAATTAAAATTTTTTAATAGAAGCCATTTAAAAGGCATTTACCTTAGTTTTTCAGTTAAGTCAGTTTGTAGAATATTCTGTTTCTGGGGCTTTTTATTAAAGGCATTTACTGGAGTTGGTAATTTATCATTGGGTAAATTAGGCAGGCTATGATGATCGTTTATCATAAACTACCTTATATGTGATGCTTTAGAATTCCCTTTTTAGAAGAAGCTAAATATTTTTAGTTAAGTAAATAAACATCTAACTTCCGGCTTTTTCCTTGCTAATGTTAGTCTTTTAAAAATGATGGTCATGAGTCATTATTAAGAAACTGGTCTCCAGAAGGTATGCCTGTTGATCTTCTTCCATTTCCTTATAATGGTTGTTGAGTCTTCTAGGCTGAGGATAATCATCAGGCCAAACCCTTTGGAATAGTTTTACTGTGTGGTCAGAAGATAGGCTGAGCTGCTCAGATGTTACAGTGGCTTGAAGGAGGCAAGTTAGATAATTACCTCTTAAATAGTCTCTTGTTTAACACCTAGAATCTGAGAAGGGATCAAAATAGATAAGAATTTGTATCTACCATATCCAACAATGGAGCAATTAGATTTTTCATCTGCTCTCCATGTTTGTGCTCAGGATGCTGAAATCAGGTATTTGTTTTTTTCTTTTAAAATTCTGATGATTAGCGGTGTCTGGGTGGCTCAGTGGGTTAAAGCCTCTGCCTTCGGCTCAGGTCGTGATCCCGGGGTCCTGGGATTGAGCCCCGCCTCAGGCTTTCAGCGGGGAGCCTGCTTCCCCCTCTCTCTATGCCTGCCTCTCTGCCCCCTTGTGATCTCTGTCAAATAAATAAATAAAACCTTTAAAAGAAAATAAAATTTTGATGATTATAGTATAGAAGATTTCTGTAATTATAGTGTAGAAGAAATTCTGTAAGTGAATTATGAAGACAGCTTATGAATTCAGCAGTGGTTTTATCACATTGAACTATAATTTGGTAAGCAGTTGAGCATGTGAATTTTTGGTTAATCAGTCTTTTGCCTTATTTTAAAAGACATTGCAATCACTTTCTCTTTGAATTTCTTTATATATATTTATGCCCCCAAAAATTTGAATTGAAATTTGCACTTCCAAAGCCATACCAGTAATTATTTAAACTTATTGAAAAAGTTTCTTCTTCAATCAAAGCTTTAAATTATTATATATGTTTAAAGAATAAAAAGGAATTTGTGC